TGGACAGACTGGAAAACTAAATGTGTGAAGCAGAGACTGGCTTGTGGATACTGACACATGGCACTGCTACTATGCCATTTACATGTGGGCAGGAAGCCACCAGCATCACTGGCCTCAGCTCACTGCACGGATAGAATCATGTGATGCATGGCTGCTTTGGAAGTTTCTATTTGTTTCATAGTTTACACCCATCAGTAGAGCAGACGAGAGTGCTGGGCTAAGTTCTGGGGTAGTCCTAACTCTCTCCCTAAGCTTCTGAATTACTTCATATACTATTCCACTGTGGATTTTGCATTGGAAACGGCTAGTGGTTTTTAGACTAGAGAAATACTTCAGGATGTAACTCAATAAAGGTGAAACCTTGAGCTCAATCCTGTTATGGTTTGAATATGAAACATCCCTCACAGGCACATGTGTTTGAGCACATGGACCATGGCTGTTTTAGAAGCCTGTAGAACCTTTGGACTTAAGGTTGTAGGAGCAGGCTTGTGAGCATTATAGAGTCTGCTCCCAGTCTGCTCTCTGCTTTCTGGTAACTGGCAGCTGTTATATATTCCAAAAGCCATAGACCAGGTCTACCTGTAACTTTTCTGCCACGATGTCCCCTAAACTGTACTACGAGCCAAAACAAACTTTTCCTGACTTAAATGAATTCTGCCAGGTATTTGGTCACAGGGTCAACAGAAGTAACTAACAGAAATTCCAGCACTTGAAAACAAAGACCTGTTATTTATTTAGTTAGTTGTGTAGTGTCTGGCATGGCATCCAGGGCTGTGTGCATATGCTAGGTTAAGTGTACCCTGAGCAATATCCCCAGCCCTGTTATATTTTCCATGCACCATGCATTGTTCCAGGCACTGAAGACCAGCAGTCACAAAAAATTGTACCTTCCTGTCTTATAAGCTAGGTGAATTCGTCTCTGCCAGCTGTAAGACCCTATCCTCCCTGACCAGATGCACAGAGGACCAGTGTGCAAAGTACCGAACTGCAGGCCTCCTGTCTTCCCCTCTCCCTGGAGCAGGCTCCTTCCCAGACCCTGCTTTGCGAAAATGGGAAAAAAAAGAGTCTAGTGTTACTTATGCTCTGCCTGTAGCCCAAGATTTAACTCTCAAGTTTCTGTCATTACGACTTACCTCTTTTGTAGCACTTCAGAAAATACAGAAAGGCCTGTCAAGATATTCAGGCAAAATTAGGTGCTTTGGCAAAAGGTCAGAGAGGCAGGCACCCTTTGCCTGAGCCTGTTGTCTCTAATGTCTGCCTGGGACAAGGCTTTGTCTTCCCTCAGCATGGTGGCTCTCTCCTGGTCTATCTACTTCCTTTAAGGATGTAAAGGTTTTCAGCCTTAAGGTCCAAAGTTTCTGCGACTCTTACACTTGACTAGGGATAGGATTCCGGGCTTCCAACCTTGTGGGAAGGAGAAGCCACACACAGCTGCAAATGAATGGCAAAGAAAACTTTTTTCAGAAAGCTGGTGTACAAGCTGGGCATGGTGGAACATGCCTGTAATCCCAACACTCTGGGAGGCAGAGGTAGGTGGATCGCTGTGAGTTCAAGGCCAGCCTGGAACTCAGTTTTCCTTCAAGACATAGTTTCCCTGTATACAATGTTCTGCGTACATGTAGGCCTGCATGCTAGAAGAGGGCACCAGATCTCATTATAGATGGTTGTGGCCCACCATGTTGTTGCTGGGAATTGAACTCAGGACCCTTGGAACAGCACCTAGTGCTCTTAAACTCTGAGCCATCTTTCCAGCCCCTATTATTATTATTAAAGATCTATGTATGAATGTTTTACCTGCATATATGTATGTACACATTTTTGTGTTTGATGCCTGAGGAGGTCAGAAGAGGGTAGTCATTGGATCCCCTAGAACTGGAGATGGTTGTGATGCATCATGTGGGTGCTGGGAACAGAACCCAGCTCCATGCAATAACAAGTGCTCTAAAACACTGAGCCACCTCTCTAGCCCCTAAATCTTGCACTTTAATGTTGATACTAAATTAAATGCAAAGTTAAAAATGGAAAACTTTGGTTGGCCTTGTAGCACATACCTACTAATTCTAGCATTTTGGAGACTCAAGAGTTGAAGACCAGTCTGGGTTACAGCAGACTTAAGTTCAAAACCAACCTGGGTACAAAAGATCCTGTTCTCAAGTGAAGCCAGCTGTTAGGTTTATCGTTTATGTTTTATCACCTTTATTAGCCAGCCTGCCATGTAGTTAATTCCTACTAGCTCCAGAAAAAGGCCTCTACTGTGATTGAGAGTCCTCCTTACAAAGCCTGGATGTAGAAGGCAGGGCAGCGACAATTCATTGAACCAATGCATAAGCTCTTAGGACTTTCCCCCTTGATGTTTATGTATGTGTTTGTGTGAGCATGTCCATGTGTGTAGGCTAGAGAACAAATTTGTATCATCCTCAGGAATGCAAACATGTCCTTTGAAACAGAGTTTCTCATTGGCCTGGATTTCACCAATTAAGTTCAACTGGTGGCTAGTAAGTGTGAAGGATCCTCCTACTTCTGCCTCCCCGGCACTGGGTCCTGAGTGTGTGCTTGTGAGGGACCTTACTGGCTGAGCCATCTTACCAGCCTCAGAAGTTTTCTTTGTACAGGTTTAGGGTTGGGGTCAATGGAAAACAGTGTGATGTTTCAGAGTCTGAGCTTTGGGGGCTGGAGAATAGAGCTTAGCTGTGTGGCTTGCCTGGGCCTCCTGTATGCTAGAGGAAAAGTAAGTAAATCCTGTTAGTAACTGTGCATGCAGTAAGTGCACAGATGAGAGATGTCAGATGGTCCAGTTTCTAGCCCAAAGCATGGCAGAACTGAGAGACAATGGTCCATAAAAAGGTGCGGAGAGGGTGAAGAATGAAGGAGGGGAGACAGAGAGATGGAGAGGGACTAAAGAGAGCTGGAGCTGAGCCACTGTTTTCACTTGTGAATGGTTTGAGTGAATCAGAGCTGCATCACAAGCCCTGCCAGCAGGGCTACTTTCTGAAGGTGTGCTGTGTCTCTGCATCTAAGGTCTTATGTAGCTTGGGATGACCATGAAATCCTACTCCTCCAACTTCTGCCTCCCCAGTGCAGGTATGGGCTACCAAGCCTGGCTTCTCTTTAATGTCCAAGGTCATAGAAAGAAATGTCCAAACTGGGTTGGAAAGATGGCTCAGTAGTAAAGAGCACTGGCTACTCTTCCAGAGGTCCTGATTTCAACTGCCAGCAATCACATGGTGGCTCACAGCCATCTGTAATGGAATCTTATCCCCCCCTGCTGGTGTGCATGAAAACAGAACACTCAAATACATTAAATAAGTAAAGCTTTAAAAAGTGCACAACTTAAACGAGGAAATAATCTGTATTAAGTCCAACTACCAGAGGGTAAAGGGAGGTGAGCATCAGTGCTGCAGTTTTGCATATGAAATAAGGAGTGGCAGTTTCTGACCCAAGGGCTTACTACAATCAGGTTCTCAATTCTTTTCTAGGGAAGCAGCAAGGTGACAGATGCTGGGAAGTACAGCTGGGAAAAGTGTTCTCACAGTGGTTGAGTAGCATAATATGGAGAAGGTGAGTCTGTGGGCTGGTAAGTCTTTTTTTAAAAAATAATTTATTTAATTTTATTTTATGTGCATTAGTGCAAAGGTGTCAGATCCCTTGAACTGGAGTTATAGACAGTTGTGAGCTGCCATGTGGGTGCTGGGAGTTGAACCTCGGTCCTTTGCAAGAGCAAACAGTGCTCTTAACCACTAAGCCATTTCTCTAGCCCCAAGTGCTGGTACTTCTTAAGCCCTGGTTTGCTTCAGACAAGAACAGTGGGCTCCATAATCTATCCACTCCAATTTACAAGGCTATCTTTTGCCTGAGCTGTGAGACCCTGAGCAGCAGTTTATCTTCATTGGGCTTAGACTTTACCAAGTGAATGAGGTCAACATCTCCCTGTCAGGGAGTGTGTATTAAATATTTTGAACTCCTGAGATTAAGGCCAATTGCTACTAGGATTAATTTTACTTATAATTAAGCAGATCAGGTGTAAGTTATTAATTACTGAGCAGAATAGTAAATGCTGGCTAGCACAAATTTGTATGTAACATAATCTGCAATCCTAATTGTATGGTGTGAGGTCCCATGCCAAGGTCTTGGTCTTCCAGGTTTTTCTCTGTCATTGTGTAAAAATCTAGCGAAGAGAGGAGAGTCATTCTAACAGTTAGTAGGCTGAGACAGGAAGACTGCTATGAGTTAGCTACAGAGAGAGAAAATATGCTCCAAACAAATGAATGAGCCAACAAACAACCTACTCTCATACCTACTGAGGCAGCAGTAAGGGGGGCACTTTAGAGTCTAGTGAAAAACTAACCTCAACTTTTTTCTGTCCCAAATCCCCCAGACTTTGAAAGGATAAGCACACCAATTTGGAACTCTTGTAAGGATTTATTTGCTACAGAATTGCTTTCATACCCCAATGCGTTAGACTAAGGGCTTCTGGGTCTAAAAGGATTTAGGTCACTTTATTTTTTCAAGTGCTGCAACATTCAAAAAGCAAGTTTTGGGGACAGGGATGGGGTAGAGTAGCAGCACCACTTGGCATGTCATAAGAATTGAGAAAAATAATCTTCAATATTAAATGTCTAGAGGGGGAAAGACAACTTTAAAATTCCCTCCCTGAACAGACCCTGAGCTAAAATCACATTCATTTTCAGGAGAAATGTTTGGTCTGTGACTGTGAAACTACAGATCCTAACCTTGGACTGGACTGGTGAAAGCTTCTAGATACTCCATGAATGACAGGTTATACGCCATTCAGTAGGCAGACTCTGGCATGTGAGTATAAGTATCTCTTAAATCTTGGTTCCCTGAAAGGACTGTCTTCATCTGATCACCAAAACTATATATAAGTATTACATATATATAT